GTCTCCCTCATCTTTTGTAAGATCAGAGACTTGTCTGTGGTATGGTTAAGCAAAGAAATGGCCTCTTGGTAAGCGTCCTCATCAAGTTGCCCTTCTAAATTAATAGCCCTCTGGCATTCCAGACCTCCTTTAGAACTATAGAGGACTTTCTCAGAACTGTTTGGTGGCAAAGTAGAGCTTTGACGAGACTTCCTCTGGACTGTTTTTAGACGCCAGGCGATGTATCCTGTGTTACTTGTGGCATCGTAGAAGTGTTCCTGAAATTAAATTAGGATTTTTTTTAGGCTTATTATCCCCCCAACATGATAATGTCTTACAAACAATTAAAGTGTCATAACATGCAAGTATGACATGAAAGTACCATGCAAATTATAACAGTAACACTTACATAGCCTTTTTTGGAATATGGATCCTTGAGGGAAGGAAACAGCGTTACTATCCCAAGAGCATACTGTTCTCGGATAGCTTTAGTAGGAAGGTTGCTGACAGGAGATATCAAATTAGTAATCTCATATATACAATGGCCATATAGTCATTTACTGCCAAATTAAAACAAACAGCAAGACAAATACCCATGTGTATCGATCATGTGAGCCACCAGTATGTTAACCATTTGTCTTCTTGTGGGATCTTTAAGGGTTTCCTTTGCTTGATACTGCTGTAGTACCTCTTCACCACCAGACTTAGACTTTAGCACACCCTCAACCAACTAACAGAAAATAAAAGCATAAGAGAACATTCATAAATTTCTGCAGACTGAACCAGAATGTTGTTTAAGAGGCACAGTATAAATAAGCTTTGTTTTGACCTGTTTTGCAAACATCGCATCAGACGTTGTGTCAAATCTTTGTCGTTTGTTCAGGATCTCATCTAGGATTACAGTTGAGGCACCTGAGCTGTAACTTGATTCAGATGTCTGAGTCATGTCTGACAACGCGTCTGAAAATTGTAATGGAACAGAAAATATTGAAAGAGTACACACATTTTAGTTATCAGCACAAAACTGTCAGAAAAGAACAGAAGAACAAAATAGTTTTTACCATTTTTTTTTACATTTGAATACAACTTACCATCATTTGAAAAAACAGTCAACACCACATTGCCTTGTTTTACTACATCACTGAAAATGTCTCCATCAACTTCAGTCCCTGTTGAATCTTTGTATATAACTTCTGCATCTGGTGGCAGGCAAAACCTTTCAATGACTGGAAAAAATAAAATAAATCCGAAAGTGATTTTTAAGTAAACACCCTTCATTGCTTTGCATGGAATGACATTGATAAACCAGGGGCTGTGGGAGAAGCTGTGGTGTGGAGCTAGGGGCAGTAGAGCCAGAGAACTTGTGAACTATGGAGGGAACAAGAGATAGGGAACTATGTCACAGAGACATAACATAAATACAGAACTTTGCTTAACTTAACACACCTTGAACTTGACATGTGGCATGACTTAGATTTCACTCATTACACGACTGACATGTAAGCAAGAGAACATGAGAGAGGGAGGCTTGCAGAGCCAGCCCCTGGATCCTAACAGACATATGTTTTACATCTCAACTACTAATAGGCACAAAGAAGTGAGATGTGGCTCATTTTAAGGAAATACTTAAGGATTTAATCACTTGACAAATGCTAATGTACTATGAAACTACAAACTGAAGCTTGTAGAACAATCATTTGAATAAAAAAGTGAAAAACAAACCTTTTTTATGGAACTGCAGAAAGTCCAATCTTCCTTCATCATCATCCACCTTTACATATTTTTGCCGTTCCTTGTAACTGACCTGGATCAGCATTTTAACTGGGAAATGCAAGAAAGTTCCACAATGTACATTAGCATTTAACTTGACCAGCACTCACACTTAAACATACCTAAACAAATAATTTCTGTTTGCGTTGTTGCGCAAGTATTGTGTTCTAACTAGGGACCATGTACATGAGCACTAGCACTATACATTATATCCCCTCGGTTGGGCTAGTCCCATACTACACAGAAACGTCAACCGAGACGTCTCTGTTGCCAGCTTTGCAGCTGGTCATAGCAGTAGTCAAAACATGAAGCAAATCAATGTGTGTGTGTGTCTGTTGATTAAGTGGTGTGTAACTAAAAACATTCTCACTAACATGTCGTGTCTTAAACATAAGAACATATTATGGCTAAGGCTACAGTTCTACACGTCATAATAATAATATTAAACACCCTGTCTGCTGACAGTCATCAACTCTTCTCCCTAGTTATTCTTGACCAGATGTACCCTGTAGAAACTCATAAGCATGACTAAGCATTTAACAGTCTAACTAGACATCCTATCTCCACTAAACATTTCTAATACATAAAGTATCTATCTAATTTCTATCTGACTAAAAATACCTAACAACACCCAAATTTTAACTCTCCAATTTTTGCTGTGTACTAAGTGCACATTAAGCTGGCTCTGTGGGGGTGAGCATGGCGATACATCACGGTCAAAGTGAAGCAGCACTCTTCAAATTTTAAAACGAACAATAGTTTTAAGTTTTTCAGTCTGGGGATGCACTGAGGAGTGAGGGGAGGGGACTGAGGGGTGGCGGTGGGGCTTATAGTAGATGTGATAATTTTAAAGAGGTTCTTTAGTTGCACTGGAGAGTTTTGGGGGGCGGAAAGCGTGGGTGATAGCTGGTGGAGGGGGCGTGCGCTTTAAAGGGATAACAACAGGGTTGAGGATGTGTAGAAGAGCTGGATTTCAGGGCTTCCTGAATAGTTTATTGTGAGGGTGATTACAGCTGAAGTGGTTGGCAGATAGTGCTGGTGATGGTGAGGAGGAGATGAAGAGCGAGGCAATCACACTCACACACATATACACACAACCACACGAACACAACTATTCATATTGTTCCAACAAAAAGGAATATGCTACATAAGCTGTTTTCTAATTCGGTAATTATTGCATATTGTATGTATTGCAATTTTCACAGTCCTTCTGAACGTGAAAAAAAAAGTACCATTTTGGAGAGAAGACACAAAACATGCTTCAACAGACTTAAATCGAACTGAAACTGATCATTTCCAATTCCACTTCAAATAGAAAAAGCAAAATGATTAGTTTTCTTCTTCTGTCTCTGTAATGTATTTTTAGTTTTTGCATTTGTGAGAAGTGACAATTTCCCTTGTGCACTGCAGAAGGACAGGAGAGACCTGGCTGGCACCCCCAAAACCAAAGCAAAAGAATGTAGTCAAACCATCATAACATAATGTGAAATGGTAGCACAGTTCGATCGTCCAGTCGGGGAGATGAACTACACACCATGCATCATAAGTTGACAGGAGTTCAGATTAATTTGTGTGTTATTTGACAGCACTATGTTCATGATAAGTGTTTGCTCAGTAAAATGTGTTAATCCTAGCCTAGTTGGGTAGACAAGATCAGAACAACACTTGATTGGTAATAATGAAAGTCAGGGGAGTAGGTTTTTAATGGTTAGAAATAAATCAGGATTTGGCATAATGGGTCTTAAATATCACTCATGTTATCATCTATGAACAGTATCAAACCCAATAATGTCAAATTTTAATATCAAATGTAATTTCTAGTCTCAGATGAAAGCATTAAAATACTATACTTCAGTTTTTGTTTCATAAACTCTAGTTAGTACACTTATAAATGAACACTTCTATATTGTTGAAGATATACTGAATAAATGCAAACACATCAGTTCAAATCAGTACATTTTTTTAAGGCCTGTCAGAGAATTCCGAAAAAAAGAACTGTAATCTTTTTTAAATATTATATGCAACAATATTTGTTTTTATTTAATTATTTTACAAATGCTTACTTTTATACATTGATGTTGGCATTGGACATTACAAAGTTTTTCATGAATAACATGAGATAAAGGCATGATTGTCCGATTTAGTCCCAGTCCCATTTAAGTGGCAGACCCTCCCTGGTTAAAGGGGGAGGAGCTGTACAGATTAAAGGCCACTGGAAGAAGGGATCTCTTGTGGCGCACCGCGGAACACTTGGCTGTGATTATTCTTTGGTTGAACCAACATACTGTAAAATCGGTGGGAAATATCCAAGATCAAGAGGAATTGAATAACATTCTACTTTCAGCCACTTGTATGTGGACAATCTGGCAGGGAATGAATACAGGCTGCTGGCTTATATGCTGAGTGAACAATTAAGACAGGAAGCAGGTGAGTATGGGTGGAGCTGGTCACAGCAGGTTGTAAAAGTGGGAAAGTAAATTTAAAAAAAAGGTCTGGGTCTAAAATGGCTGGGAAAACATAGGACAGAGAGAGATCAAATTGTGACATCCTTGTTTGTTATGTACAGAATGTATTTTTTAAAAGTATTAAATAGTTTCTAGGTTTAGCTGCACTATAATAAAGATAAAATATCCAAACTAGGTGAATCTGAACACTGAAGTAAAACATCTAACTATGACTTCCAGGTCTGACTGTGGTTTCAGATGCTTTTTATACATGCATGGCATCATTGTGCACACATTTCACAGTTTGAATGATGACACAATAAACATCTCAGCATCTATAATACAAGCAGATCCATATCTACAGAAGGAGCACACATTTTACATCTCATTCAAATTTCACTAAATTGTCATTTGTGAAAAGCAGCTGCTGTAGAAGGCCGAAGTGATGTGGAGCTATAATATCTCCTGCTGCAATAAAGAGCTGTTCTGAAGATGGATTCGTATGCTGGTCAGGGCAAATATTTGATTGCCACTCATGCCAGTGCTGGATAATGTGCCTTCTTTGTCTACCGCTATGAAATCACAGTGTTGCTTGCCAGTGACTGTGCATCTACTTCCTGCCCAAAACACTACTTAACTTCTGACACCACTGCAGCAAAAAGCTGGCTTCCTCAGCATTTCTACTGGCATACTTTTTAAATCTGGGGTGTAGAGTGACTTTAAAGTAGGCATGTTGTATGTGGGTGGGTCAAGGACTAGTTGGAAACATTCTTCAGGAAGACTCTGAAAAACAGGTACTAGCATACGGGTGTCTTACAGAGCTCCTTTGTCAAAAGTTCAGTTAGTGTATTTCTGATGACCTGAAAGAGTGGAATCACTAAGGAAACGGATGCCTCATCTTGGTACACAGCATGTTACTCTTGAAAGGGCTCGAGTATTGTAACTGTTTTCTCCTTCACAGTCCACTGATGGTGTGAGGCTGAATCTCTGTGGCTATGCCGATGAGCTCTATCTTTTGATCCACAAGCAGCATGTACACTATATCATTGCAGTGCGCCTGGTGTTACAGTATGCACTGTACGTAGTCCATGTGTCTGATGTAGCTTAACTGTAGTTTTGTCTAACCCCTGTATTTAGGCAGGAATTTCTCTCGCAGGGTATACTGCACTCATTACACCTTGGCACTCTGATAGCAGCTGTTAAAAGGAGCTGCAAGGAGTAAGCTATGCTGGAGGCATTGTCTCTAACATAGAACAGTAAATCAGGATGTAGCTGTTGCTGTTCTTCCAGAAGGTATTTGAGACATTGCATGAAATTTACTGCAGTGTGGTCTGTGTTGAGGACTTTCACATCTGTGTGTCTCCGTCTCAGTCCCTGACTTTAAGTCAAGATATGTAGCAAACTGTTTTATTTTCCACTGGTCTATAAGCATTAGCTGAGAACCTGCTGGTCCAAATGTAGCAGGGGCGCACATTTAAACCTCTCTGAAATGGCTACACACAGCTGGTGGAGTGGGTGGGATCTTCATTATTTAGTTAAACCTTCTGACAGAGCATCAGGATTTAACAGCAAATGGTCCTGCTGTTCTTGGTGAGTTGTTCCAAAATATTCCAGACTAAGTTCATGTAGAGTAGAGCAGTGGCTAATCTATTAGGTTTAGGAGAAGCCTGTCTTCAAACTGTACAGGAGTGGCCTGATAGCTGCTGTTCTTACTCATTGTAAGAATGGATAGAATTCATCTGCTAAAGAACAAAAAAGTTTACAGCACCAAATATAATTAATACATTTATTTATTTGGACTGTTTTCACTGTTGGCCCCACAAGCACTTTTAGCGAGTCACCTAGTGCAGGTCCTGCACGATACATGCTGTTACAGTTTAGAAAGGCATTCAGGAAATACACAAAGTATTGTCTGTGGCATTGGAGTAGTCCTGTGGTTTCCTGTCTGCAATTAGAGGAGAGCATGAGGAGAGGAAACAATCAAACAAAACAAAATATTAATGAAATTGTATGCTGTTTACATCTTCTCAGAGTGCATTATGTGGGCTCATTTTTGCCCTGACAGGCCAATCAGAAACAATTAACAGGATAAAACCCATCATAAACACAGGCAGATTTTTATTTTGTTTATTTATGTACAGTATATACATAAAAGCATCTGGCAAAACCTGAACTGCACACATTACTGTTGTATATAAATTCACTACAGACATCCACCATGCATATGTCTACATTTTCCACGTAAGGTCATGACCCTAAATGAGAAAAATT